CCTCCACCATTCCTTGGACATTCCCAGCCCATTCCTGCCTGGATTGAGGGGCTCCATTCCCCTTCCCATCCCCTGGGATGTCGCTCCAGGTTGGGATCATTCCCCCCCATTCCAGGGCTGGATTTGGCCTCTCCATGGAAACAGGGAAGGATCAAAATCCCCCCAGGACGGATCCAACCCCACATTCCCACCCCTCAGGAAAACACCCCCCCGATCCCAACAACCCTTCCAAACCCAGCAGGGTTTTTGTTTTTGCCCTTCCCAACCCATTCCCTCCCTCCCTGCGGGCCTGGATCCCGGCTGGGAATTCCGGGAAGGATTCCTGACCGGAGTCGAGGACGTGGTTGTTGCGGAGGTCGAGGATGTGGATGGAGCAGTTGAACTTGAGGAGGTTCCCGAGCTGGGCCGAGTCCTGCAGCCCGTTGAGTTTGTTGTCGGCCAGGTAGAGCTCCCGCAGGGTCATGTTCATCTTCAGAGCCGTGCCTGGAAAACAGGGAGAAAAAACATGGAAAAAAACGGCCCGGGGAAAGCAGAGGGGGTGGCCTGGAATTCCAGTTGTGTCCTGCAGTTCCAGCTGTGTCCCACAGTTCCAGATGTGTCCCGGAGTTCCAGATGTGTCCTGGAATTCCAGACCTGTCCCACAGTTCCAGCTGTGTCCCGGAGTTCCAGTTGTGTCCTGCAATTCCAGTTGTGTCCCAGAATTCCAGTTGTGTCCCACAGTTCCAGTTGTGTCCCAGAATTCCAGCTGTGTCCCACAGTTCCAGATGTGTCCCGGAGTTCCAGCTGTGTCCTGGAATTCCAGACCTGTCCCACAGTTCCAGCTGTGTCCCGGAATTCCAGCTGTGTCCCAGAATTCCAGCTGTGTCCTGGAATTCCAGTTGTGTCCCGGAATTCCAGCTGTGTCCCAAAATTCCAGCTGTGTCCCGGAATTCCTGCTGTGTCCCACAATTCCAGTTGTGTCCCACAGTTCCAGATGTGTCCCAGAATTCCAGTTGTGTCCCAGAGTTCCAGTTGTGTCCCGGAATTCCACATGTGTCCTGGAATTCCAGACCTGTCCCACAGTTCCAGCTGTGTCCCAGAATTCCAGTTGTGTCCCGGAATTCCAGCTGTGTCCCAGAATTCCAGCTGTGTCCTGGAATTCCAGTTGTGTCCTGGAATTCCAGTTGTGTCCCGGAATTCCAGCTGTGTCCCACAATTCCAGCTGTGTCCCGGAATTCCTGCTGTGTCCCACAATTCCAGTTGTGTCCCACAGTTCCAGCTGTGTTCCAGAATTCCAGTTGTGTCCCAGAATTCCAGTT